TCTCCCAAGATGCTGGCTGATTTCTTATCTGAGCCAAAGAGGATTCCTTATAACGTGTGTGCCATCCAGATGTACTTTTTCGGGGCATTGGCTGATGTGGATTGCCTCTTGTTGGCTGCTATGGCCTATGACCATTATGTAGCTATTTGCAATCCACTCCTTTATAGAATTGCCAGGTCTGGGGGGATGTGTACCTGGCTAGTGGCTGGTGCTTACATTGTAGGGTTGTTGGATTCAGCACTCCACACATGCTGCACATTTCGCCTTTCATTCTGCAAGTCCAATGTTATCAATCATTTTTTCTGTGACCTCCCACCCTTACTAGCCCTCTCTTGCTCAGATACATCCATTAATGAGATCATGTTGTTCACTTTTAGTAGCTGTATTTTGGGGTGCAGTATTTTATCGGTCCTCCTCTCCTATAGCTATATTATAACAACCATTCTTAGAATGAACTCCGCTGAGGGGAGACGCAAAGTCTTTTTGACATGTGCCTCACACTTAACCGCGGTGGCTATATTTCATGATACATTCTTGTTCATGTATTTCCGACCAAGCTCGAGCTATTCAATGGACACGGACAAAATGGCTTCTGTGTTCTACACAGTTGTGATCCCTATGTTAAACCCACTCATCTATAGCCTGAGAAATAAGGATGTGATAGGTGCCCTCAAGAAAACAATGAGTACTAAATCATTTTCTGGTTAAACATATATACTGTTCACATTAAAAATATATAGATGTATGTAAAACTTCTTAGAGCTAATGGTCTTTGACAAAGTGCCTGTAGTTTCCTCAATACAATCTTTGTAGATAGTTTTATCTGTTTGTTGTTAGTGTCTTTGTGCCTCAATGGACTATTGTCATTGTTCAGTGCCCTCAAGCTGGTTTTGACTCATAGGGATCCTATGTACAATGTAAGGAAACCCTGCCCGGTTCTGCACCACCATTGTAACTTTGGCTATGGTCCAGCCCGTTGTAACAGACACCGTATCAATCCATTTGGTAAAGGGGCTTCCTCTTTTTAGTTGACCCTCTCCTTTGCCAGACATTATGCCCTTCTCCAAGGGTGCGTCTCTCCTAATAACATATCCACAGTATGTGAAACAAAGCCTCATCACCCTTGCTTATAAGGAGTAATTCTGGTTGTACTTCTTCCAAGACAGATCAATTGAGTATATGGAGCCATAGTAATTAATATTAATATTCTCTCCATGTAAGAAGAAACAATAATAAGGAATCAAAGTTGCTATTATTAATAGAAGATCCTCTATTCTGTGCCATGAGTATATCCAAGTGAGATTTCATGGGATATAACAGTGTATACCCTCTTGTAAAACTACCACATACTTAACATTGAAAGTCAATTGTTTTTGTCTGAGTTTAATTAATATAATTTCCTGGCCAGAATGGAGTTTTTCTGAATCAAATTTGTATTGATTTCTATTTCCTGTCTACTTTCACGACCCCAGGAAACATTGCATTATAATTCAAAGAGTGTGAAT